TAAACCCATTGCTTCTTGTTCTATCCTTAGAGGCTAAGGTGAACAAGTTTTCTCCCTCCTCCTTATGACACCCTTTCTGATAGTTACACCAGTATAAGACTGGATAACACCATCAACGTCAGTGGTGTTAATCTGAATTTACACTACTGCCACTTAAATTAGAATCTGACCCATTGTTTTTCTAAACTTGGATCTGGTTCTGTGTTCCTAGAATTAGGATTCCATTGAATATTCTCTCTTCCGTTTAATAGAAATTCTGCATGCACTGATCCATTTCCGAGTTCACTTGTACCTATCCTTCCCTTTATTAAATAAGAATTTGTCATACTGGTACTGCATGGTCTTGGTTTCTTCCTTTCTTCCCTATACGTGATGGCAGCATTATTGTACAAATTCATCAGCCTAGAGCACCGGCTCTTATCACCAGCAGAGCGTTATACATTGCACTTGCTGAAGAATAAGGTGCATGAAAATAACTTCAGAATTCATGGATAGGGAAATGAAACTCAGTTACAGGTACAGCCAAATGAAATATGACTCAGGTAAAGGGCTCATTTTGTTACCTTTACTCACATTGAGTAATCCTTTCCTCCATAAGTGATCCTGTTAATTTCATTGGCACTATATTGCAGTATAAGGTACCGCTCGACACAGGGGTGGTAGATTTGGAACCCAATTTCTTCTACCTGGACATAAATACAGAACCATGTACATTGAACAGGTGTATCAGCTGCCAGATCCCAGAACAACTCACATGTCAGATGAAACCAGTGCCATAGTTTGAAAAGCCTTTGATCCTCAATTCTCAACCAGGGGTACATGTACCCCTGGGGGTACACAGAGGTCTTGCAGGGGATACATCAACTCATCTGGATATTTGCCAAGTTTTACAACAGGCTACATAAAAAGCACTAGCAAAGTCAGTACAAACTAAAATTTCATACAGACAATGACTTGTTCATACTGCTCTATATACTGTACACTGAAATGTAAGTACAGTATTTATATTCCAATTGATTTATTTTACAATTATATGGCAAAAATGTGAAAATAAGCAATTTTTCAGTAATAGTGTGGCTGTGACACTTTTGTATTTTTATGTCTGATTTTGTAAGGAAGCAGTTTTTAAGTGATGTGAAACTTGGGGGTATGCAAGACAAATCAGACTCCTGAAAAGGATACAGTAGTCTGGAAAAGTTGAGAGCCACTGTTATATACAACAAGCGCTACAATGGCAGAGCTGCAGTGCTGCAGCTAAGCCGCTGTAGCATAGCCACTTGCTACAGTGACAGAAGGGGTTATTCTGTCACTGTTGTTAATCCATTTGAGGTTTAGGTTGGCTTATCTACATCTCTGTCTCAGTAACATAGCTCATAAGAAGAACATAAGAACGGCCATACTGGGTCAGACCAAAGGTCCATCAAGCCCAGTATCCTGTCCTCTAACAGTGGCCAATGGCAGGTGCCCCAAAGGGAATGAACAGACAGGTTCATCAAGTGATCCATGCCCTGTCACCCAATTTCAGCTTCTGGCAAACGGAGGTTAGGGACACCATTCCTGCCCATCCTGGCTAATAGCCATTGATGGACCTATCTTCCATGAATCTATCTAGCTCTCTTTTGAACCCTGCTTTAGTATTGGCCTTCACAACACCCTCTGGCAAGAAGTTCCAGAGGTTGACAGTGCATTGCTTGAAAAAATACTTTCTTGTGTTTGATTTAAAGCTGCTACCTATTAATTTCATTTGGTGGCCCCTTGTTCTTGTATTATGAGGAGTATATAACACTTCCTTATTTACTTTCTCTATACCACTCATGATTTTATAGACCTTTATCATAGCCCCCCGTAGTCACTTCTTTTCCAAGCTGAAAAGTTCCTGTCTTATTAATCTCTCCTCATACAGAAGCCGTTCTATATCCCTAATCATTTTTGTTGCCCTTTTCTGAACCTTTTCCAATTCCAATATATCTTTTTTGAGATGGGGCGACCACATCTGCACTCAGTATTCAAGGTGTGGGCGTACCATGGATTTATTTACAGGCAATATGATATTTTCTGTCTTATTATCTATTCCTTTCTTGATTATTCCCAACATTCTGTTCGTTTTTTTTGACTGCCGCTGCACATTGAGTGGATGATTTCAGAGAAATCTCAGTCTTAGGTGTAGACCAGGCTTAGGTGTAGACCAGGTGTAGACCAGGTTTCACAATGAGGAGAGGTTTTGTTTCTTTGTTTTGTTTTTTTCTCTCTCTCCATTAAAAAAAATCTCATTTGTTCCATTAGATTTTTTGTAATGTTGTAATGAATGAAGAGGAAAATAGAGGAGACTTGAAAGTGAAGAATTTCCATTTGAGAAAAAAGTCTCAGGTTAGCATAGAAGAACTGCAAGCTTCAGAACTGAATTACCTTCAGTAAAACCTTCTAAAACAGAATAAAATCCTCCCCTCATACAGCTGAAGTAGCAGTTTACTGTTCTGATCAGATAGCATATGCAGTGCTCTATGATTGTTGTGTGTGAGAAAGGCAGACTAAACAGCCTTATACAAAAGCCAATAATCACTTAACTCCCAGGACACTTGGCATGGCATTTTTAGATGGGTTGTGTTTTTAAAAAAGGTTTACTGCAGAAGCACAAAAAATTACCACCTCAAATATAAGCAACAACAAACAGGCTTAAATTTCACACATCAGGAAGCTTGTAACAATGTTCAGTTCTGCTCTGAGGTACGGAGTCTTTACGTCTGAAAATATTAGGCAATATTAAGGGACCTCTGGGACACCAGGATTAAAACACATTAGATTTCACAGGACAGTTGGTGCACAAAATTATCCCTGTCTCCTTTTCTTATAATTGTTAGAGGGTTTTTAATATTTTGCATTGAAATGTTTTTAGCTCCAGCAGAGAAAATCTTATTAGCTTATGTCTCACCAGGCATATTAAAATCACAAATCATTGCTTGGGAACAGATGTAGGAGCAGATTGTAAGTTTGGATGGACCATGTATTTCTGAGAAAATACATGGAGAGTTTGTGAGAATCAGGGTACGGATTTCTTCCATCTGACACATGGTCAGAGTATTTCACTAGAACTCCAGAATTTTACCACCCATTGACTAGCTCCTCCCAAGGGGGTAAAGGGGCTTGAGTCTTTCATGTTTTCACAAATTCACTCTTTCCCCTTTAAATATATAAGTCTCTCCCTTTTCAAGATCTCATTTTAAACCCTTATATTTTAAATGGATCAGATATTATTCCTTTCAAAGCCTGCCAAAGTTACCCCTTAGTAGCTGTTGCTGAGTAATCTAAGGCACTACCCTGACCCCATACAACCAGACCTCAAGTGCTATGCCTATGTGGTGTTTTGAGGCCTTGCTATCAAGGAAAATGAGAGACATGGGACTAGATTTACTTCTGATTTACACGCTGTGCTTTTTAACCAGGTGGTATGGAATGTAAGCAGCATTGCAGTGCTTGATCTCAGGAATCAAAGACAAATGTCTTACATTATTTACTTGCCACTAGTACATCTAACAGCCATTAAGCAGAATTGCTGTTTCTCTCTCTGAGGCCATGTCTACATTTACTGGGGATCAACGCCGCTGTGATTGATGCAACGGGGGGGTCAATTTAGCAGTTCTAATGAAGACCTGCTAAATCGACCACTGAGCACTCTCCAGTCAACTCCAGTACTCCACCGGAATGAGAAGAGTGAGGGAAGTGAACAGGAGAGCGTCTCCCATCGACTCAGTGCGGTGTAGACATTGCAGTAAGTCAACCTAAGCTACATCAAATCCAGCTATGTCATTCATGTAGCTGGAGTAGCATAACTTAGGTCGACTTATCCCGGTAGTGTAGACAAGGCCTGACTTCTGAAATCATGCAAATTCCAGAATTGTAAATGAATATGTCCCGCTGCACTTATATGCTTCTTCAATTTATAATCAATGGTGTTAGTTTCACTCTAGAGTGATTTGCACATAATGCTCTTGTTATAATTACTTCCTGCCCCACTTCACAATAGAGATTTAAAAAAAAATCCAGCAAGAGTCACTGACAGAAAAAATATCTCCTCCAGAAAGGCTATTCTGCCTAACAACAATCATCATTGATGTGGCTAAACTGAACCATCTCCAAAAATTGGTGGCCTGATCAGTGTTTTAAAACATATTTCCTCTTATATTTATTTAAGACATTATATTCTGACCAAGCAATTGTACATATAAGTAGAATAAAGCTCTTCTGATGGGACTATATTAATCCAGGGGTTCTCAAAGTAGGGGTCGCGACCCCTCAGGATATTGTGAGGTGGTTACATGGGGGTCGTGAGCTGTCAGACTCAGGGAGGTTGGACAGCCCCAAGCCCTCGCTAAATTAATATTACATTTAAATTAAATTACCCCCCCCCAATTTTTAATTTATAAGGGGGTTGCACTCAGCAGTTTGCTGTGTGAAAGGGGTCACCAATACAAAAAGTTTGAGAACCACTGTGCTAATTCATAGAATATGCTAGTTTGTACATAGACACCTTTCTTCACATCTGAATACCCATATCTATACAAATAAAAGTTTCTCCACAAACATAGCGGCAGAGACAAAAAAAGACAGTCACAGCAACGTTCATGGACAAGAAAAGAAAAGAAGAGAAAAAAGTTTGAACACAGCTTGATCAAATTGGCAATTCTGAATGTGCAAAGAAGGTCATTATTCTCCAGCTCTCTACTCAACTAGTGTTTAAAAAAAACAGCCATCATTTTGAAATTAATTAAACCTCGGTCCCCACTTGGTCGTCTTTGTGCCGCTCCTGTGATGGAAAGTGGACGAAGAATTGCCCTTAAAGACCCATTGGATTCCCTTTGTGTGGGAGAACCTCTATGTGTCATAAGACAGTATATTGCTTGTTCCTTGCCCCTGTCCTGCACAGGAATCATATGAGGTTGAGGAGAG